GTCTCTCTCTCTCTCTTCTCCCCTAACTTGTAACCTGGCTCAAGGCCAGCTGGTGAGCCACTCAATTCTTAGGAAGTAGAACGAACAAAGAGTTTATTGTGGACAATTGACGTGGTTTCTGTGAGTCACTTAGTTGCTAAGTTATGAAGAAGCTGACTGGAAAAGGCAAGAGGGGTGCGGCAGATGGACAGAGCAAGAAAGAGACAGTGGAAGGCGGCTATTGGGAATCCTGGTGGCTTCCAGGCCCTGGCGCCAATTGGCATGAGGTCCATGAGGGGACATGAGGTATCTCTGTAGCTGCTCCCCTGCTCCAAATGTTTCTGGTGGGACTGTAATCACAGGACCCTGACCACCCATCCCCGACAGGGACAGAGATGGACATGTAGCCTTGTAGCTGCTCCCCTGCTCCAAATGCTTCTGGTGGGACTGTAATCACAGGACCCTGACCTCCCATCCCCGACAGGGACAGAGATGGACATGTAGCCCAGGTGAGCCAATCACATTTCCTTTCCAAGGAATGGTAGAGTTGGAGCTGAGTTGTCCAGGGGAAGCCCCTCCTTTCCTTCTAAAGGCCTGGAGGCTTCCCTTTTTGGCTTCTCTTACATTAGTTTCTACCGCTAGTAGACAAAGAACACTACTGTCAACAACTCTTATTTAAGAAAGCTAGGTAGAGTGGCCTTCTGTTTCCTGCCAATCAAAAGAGGTCCTAGAGTAGATGATTTCCTGGCTCTTTGTCACTGATGCCTTTTCTGGATTGCTCTCTAGTCACTTCCCCTCCAGCTGCTGCACAGGCACCTTGTGGACGTGTTGACCTCTGGTGTGGACAAGATGAAAGGGCCGGGTGATGACTAAAGCCATCCCTTTGGGGCACCATCCAAAAGGCCTCCTTCCAGCTCATATCCTGTGCTCCCCACCACTCCCTGCGCCAGTAGCTCAACAATGAGGGCCGTGTCTTAAACATACTGGAAAATAATAATAGTGACTCTCCATCGAGGGCAGGTTCACATCTATCACCTTATTTGTTGTCCCCCACCCAACCATCCTGTGAGAGCAGTGTTTCTATTTTACAGATGAAGAAACAGGCTCAGAGAGGTTAGGTGACTTTCCTAAGGTCACATATCTGGTTGGTTATGGATTCAAGACACTTGAAAGAAAAAGGGCAGTGTCCCACGAGGCACCAACGGTGGTGTTTATCTCCAGGAAGACAGAAAACTTCGAAGTGTTGATCAGCTCTCTCCTCCTTCTGTTCCAAGAAGCCAGGCCCCTGCGGGAACCGGATTCTGCCCTACTCCTTTGGCCAAAGAGTGGGGCACATATTACTTTGATAAGATAGTGGGAAGTTTTCCCATCACATTTGAAATTTATATTTTTCTCAGGACTAACAGATCTGTGATGATAGCTGGTTTCATGCTTTATCAGGTGTCATATTCAATCTTGCTCAAAACTGTTGCCACTGGAGAGGAAGGACTTCAGTCCTCCCCCAAAAGGTTGTTATCTCTGCCCACCTTCTACCCTAATTTCCCCAAAATAGAAGTTGCTAATCTAATTGATCAAGGTCCAGGACATTCCTTGGGCCCTGCATCACCACTGGGCAAGTTTACTCCATCTTAAAAGTCAATTCGCACGTTCTCGCTGGGAGCCTGTTACAAGCCTGCCTGCATGAGCAGACATGACCAGGTTCTTCCTCCTCTTCTTCCACGTCTGTAACTGAGTGTGCAAATGAAGCCGCAGGAAGCAGGAAGCTTCGTTTATACCTCCAGCTGAACTTTGAAAGCCCCAAAGCACTTTGTTTTCCTTCTGGCTCAGTTATAAATAAAATGGTACTTTCATTTCTTGTTTATCTTATGGTTTACTAGTAAATGTTTAACAATCAACTTTTGGTTGGGGAGAGAGGGAGAAAGAACAACTCTGATTTGTATGTTTGCCAGTTTCCATGGTGTAAACACTCTCATTGTGGCCAATTTCTAGATGCCAGCATGACATTGTTAGGAAGTAACGTGCATTAGCACACCATCACATAGGATTTCCACCATACAGATATACTAGACATAGGTAATAGGTAACGTAGGTAATTGTAAAATGTAGCAAAGTAATTAGGAAGTGATGGATTTTGAGTATTTATTACCATAGTTTTAAATATAGCTTGACTGTAAGTTGATATAATTTAATTTTTAATAATGGCTGTACTTAACAACCAGCTTACAAAATTCCTGAAATTTTAACAATTGGCTCTTATGAGCTGTTCAAGCTGGCTGCAGCATGCCACTGCATTGATCTGTTATTCCTTGCATATGGTGTTCTCTCAATTGGGACCCTTATTGTTTTCATCTGCCAAGCTTCCTTTTCTTGGAGGAACAACCTCTTCCATTCCATTTTGTTCTAGAGGGGCTGACAGTCACATGACCTGCCTCTCCACTATCCTGATAACAAGACCTATGACCAAAGCCATGTTACGAGGGGATGGGTGACAGGACTGGGTGAAGGCATGGGGAAATGAGGATGCTTCTCTAATAACAACCAACCTGGGACAACAGGAACCTGGCTTCTTCCTGGGGAGGCCAGACAGAGCCCGGAATCCCGGTCCAGGTGCTAGGACTCCTGTGGGTAGAGCGGAGGTTGCGAACTCTGGGGGAGCATCCAGCCTTTATTTCATTTGGCCCCCGCTGTATTTGGAAACATTTGAATTCATTGTTAAGATTTAGAAAGCAGTAATGTTCACCTGACACTGTGCCCACACTCCTGGCTGGGCAACAACAGCCAGAGCTGGGTGTAGCTGCCCCCCGCATCAGGCATGCTCTCTGCAGCTTGCCAGTCTCGACAGGCTCAGGGTTTCCAGCTGGGTCTTGTCTCAAGCTGGAAGTCACTACACAAACTTTGGGGCACATGAATGCAATTTCCAGGTCTCCCACCACCCCATTTACCCCTCTACCAGCATCTGCACCCTCATAGCACAGACGTGACCTCCTGTTATTACAGAGGAATCGTTTCTGCTCCCATCTGAAGCCAATTCCTCTATTTTAAACTGGATCCCACCCCTCTCGTCTGCTCAAGGACACCGTTCCAGCACCGTTCCTCATCTCTCTTCTACATCATCAGTTTTTCTCCCTCTACTGCAGCAGTCCCCAGCCTTTCTGGCACCAAGGACAGGTGCTCCTACAAGAGTCTAATGCCTGAAGATCTGAGGTGGAGCTGAGGCAGTGATGCTAGCGCTGGGGAGTGGCTGCAAATGTAGATGAAGCTTCAGTCCCTTGCCTGCTGCTTACCTCCTGCTTTGCGGCCTGGTTCCTAACAGGCGGAGAAATGGTACCGGTCTGCGGCCCAGGGTTAAGGACCCCTGCTCTAACAGGCTCACCCCCGACCCAGACCACAAACATATGGTCCTTTCTCCCATCCTAATGAAACCTTCTCTCAGCCCGCTTCTAGTTCTCTGCTCTCCTTGACAGCTGAACTCCTCTAAAGAGTCACATACTCCCATTCTCTCCTAAAACTACTGCAGTCGGGCATTCATCCCTGTCACTCGACCAAAACTGTTCTTGACAAGATCACAAATACTAAATCCATGTTGCTAGATCCAAGAGTGAATTCTCAGGCTCATCTTACTTGGCCTCTCCGCAGTGTTTGTCCCAGCTCGCCACTCCCTCTTCCTAAACACCTTCACTTGGTCTCCTTTCTATTCTCATTTGCAAGAAACCTACACTTCATTCTTCGGCTATGATCTACAATTGCTGCTGGCATAGTGAAGGCACACGGGAATCCAGATGCCAAGCATTAAAATGTTATAATTGATTGAAGATTTGTTTCATAAAATATTTTCCTTAATTTGCATGCTGGTGTTACTGAGATCTCACTCCCCATCCTCACCATAGAGACAGCACCTAGTAGTGAGGGGCAGGGGCAGTGGTGGCAGCAGGTGTCCGACAGACATCTGTCACCCAGCAGGAAAGAAAAGGCAGATGGGGCTGCACCGCACAGTGCTGTCTCATCACTTCTCACTTAGCTGGATTATTAATTAATACAGCCCCTAATTGCTTTCCCTGCTTCCTTTCTTAGTCGGTTCTCAACCCAACAGCACAAGTCAGATCCTGTCACTCACTACTGAAAACCCTCTAACTACTCCCCGTCCCACTCCGAGGAAAACCCAGAGTCCTTACCATGGCTGCAGGGTCCCACATGAACGGATTCTCTCTGCAGGCATCCCTATCACTCCCCTCTCATTTCTCTTGCTCTTGCCATCTGGGATTTTTCTGTCCCTCAAACATCCCAACACACTCCCACCTTCAGCCTTCACATTGGTCCTTCTGCCTGGAACATTCCCAGGGTGACACATGGTTGTCACCCTCAAATGCCTTCACACCTTGTTTAAATATTACCTCTTCAAGTAACCCTATTCGAAATTCTACCCTGCGTTCCTTGGACCCTCCTGGCCACACTTACCCTATTCGTTTTTCCCCCTTACCATATCATCTTCTGTGATACCATATTATGACTTACATAATATTTATATTTATTGTCTGTGTCTCCCCCTCCCCAAATCTCAAGAGCCCAGGAGGGTGCTTGGCACTTAATAAGCTCTTGATAAATATTTCTTGAATATGTGAATTTCTAGGAAGGAATGTGGCTTGGATCCAAATATCAAATAGTTTTGTGGTCCAAAACCTATTAAAACGAAACAAAACAAAACACTTCCAAGGACTAAAGCTGTTTGAAAACAATCCAACCCACCTGTTCCAGTCCTTAAACAGCCTTTCTGAGCAGGGATGCAGCAACAGAACCAAATATATATTGCCCTTGGTTTTTCTCAATTTTCATCTGACTTGGCAGTTTGGGGGACCCCTCCCCTGGTCTTGGGACAACCTGAATGCCAGCAGGATGGCAGCTTCCAGACCCCATGAAAGGACTCCCCCCAGCAGCAGCACAGAAGAAGAGAGACCATGAGATTTACCACGTAAGTGGGCACTGTATGTGGAGTATGTGCTGGGAGCAACAAGAACAGCAGTAAATACAGAACAGAAAATAACGATTTTTGAAATGACTACAAACAGGACACATTATCTAAGCACTAACACCTAAGGAGGTGGCTGCCCAGGCTCTGGTGGGCAGCTCCTCAGGAGATAGAGGCCGACTTCTTCCCAGGCTGCCTGGTCTTCAGTCCTTGTAACTTTTCATCTTTAAGTGCCTTCAAGAACTTATCTGCAGGAGAGCAAAACAAACTTAGCTGGAGTAGAGAGAAGGGCTTTTTCTAACACTGCCAAAGCAATTGTGTTTTCTACATGAGTCCAAGATGGCGGGTCGGGGGACAGGGGGCAGGGGACCCTAACAGCCCAAACATATATAAGCAGAGAATATGTAGTTGAGAAATCTAGGATTTAGATAAACCCATTTTCTAGGAATTGTTTCTTCCCTGACTATGGGAAGGGGAATTACAGGGTGTCCAATGAATTGGGGACCATTCCCATGTCATATGGACCTAAACATTTAGGTTATTTCATACTTTCCTATGGTGGGGGGGGGGGCACATTTTATACAATAGAGGGGATGGTCTTCTAGAATCATCTGCCTTCCTCCCGTGGTCAAGTGCTAGCCTTGGTCAGAAAGACAAAGTCTGCAGACAGCCTGATGCCGCTGAATATTCTACAGTGCAATAGGTTGTTCTGGGAGTAGAACTGGATTGAACAATTTTACTCTCGAACAGGGAGGAGTCAGTCAGCTTGCACACTGGAGGAATTCCACCCACAGCAGCACACCTGATGCGGATTCCTGAGACTTCAGACAGAGATCAACTGGCAGAGTCCAGGACCCCAGTGAGAGGGCCGGCGTCACAGGGAGGCTACCTTCCAGCACTGAGAAGTGGAGGGTCCCAAAGCCCCTCAGTGAACGTCCTTGGGCCTCCTGGGTCTTGCACAATTCCCACTTCTCCCCTACAGACATTCCAGCTGCCACTCGCCTACTTCCCCCACCTCCCATTCAGGATCCCAGTTTAAGATAAACACTGAATCTCGGGTCTCTAGAGAGAGGGGCTGTCTGTGGTGGATGGAGCTCTAGGGGCAGCAGTACTGTGAGGGAGGCTCAAAGTTCAGGAAAGGGGCTGTCGTGGATGAAATTCCAGGTTTAGAAGCTCAGAGTCCAGATTACTGACAGGGTTTAGGATGGAGGGAGGATGGAATGTGGGACAAAAGGGTCGCTGAAGTCCAGATTCGTGGTCGGGGAAGCAGTCGGTTGAAATTCAGGCTGGGGGAGTCTGGGTTCTGGGGGATCGATTTGAGACCTGGGACTCCTGGGAGCTGGAGCCTGAGCCCAAGGCCACATTGTCGGGGAGGGGATAAGGGGGCACGGAGCCAAGGGGGTGGCCGAGGCAGGCTAAGGATGGGCTAGCGCAGCCCCAGGGAAGTCACGCACAGCGCTGGGAGTCGAAGCCGTCTCCAGTGATGGTGAGCAGCTCCAGCTCCTTAATCCGGATCTCCAGCTCGCACAACTCCTCGGGGTGTGAGGCAGAGGCAAGCCAGGGGGTCGTGGGGCCGGGCGCCAGGGTGGAGGCAGCCACCTCTGGCCCTGGCGGCGGCGAGTAGAAGAAACGCAAAGGCTCATAGGGGATGGAGGCCAGGCCCGAGGGCCAGGGCGGGGGACAGGGGCGCTGCCTGGGGGGACCAAAAGACCCCACCCGCCGGCGCCCCACCCGCCTTCAGTGGCACAAAGAGCTTCTTCCAGATGTTGAAGTCACTGAGCGGGGACGAGGAGATGCCGCGGTCATAGAGGGACGGGAAGTAGAGGGGCGGGGCCGGCCGCTGGCTCATCGTGGGACTCTGGCTGCCGCGCCGCCCCTTCGGCATCTTTTGAATGGGAGGCTGCGTGGGAGGAACCCCGCGCAGGTAGACGCGCGCCTGCCCCACGTCGCCGGGGTTCTGAGGTTCCACAGGCCACGCCCCGGGGGAGCGCGGCCCCACCCTTTCGCCCCCGCCCCTCCCGGAATAGGTGGAATTCGAGGGGCCCGCCGGCCACGCCCCAAAATGTGGCCACGCCCGTTGACGGCAGGCCGCGCCCCTGAAGTGAGAAAGGCACCCTGAGTGGCAGGGGGGGGAGTCCCGA